TAGCTTGCAAAATTTCTTTACTTATATAATTTCAGTTAAGTCTCCCAGTTGGTATTATTCCCACTATTCAGGTTAGGAATTTCATGGCCCCGAGAAGCATGTCCTGTGTCCAAATCTACAAAACAAGCATAGGAACCAAGGCAAATATTCAGATCTTCTGATTATATTTTGAGTTTCATTTGCAAAACAATTTAAAAATAAAGAATGTAAGAGATATGTGCTTGAAATTCTGGTACTCTGAGCGGTAAAGGCTAGAGGATTGCAAGATTAACCCCAGTTTGGATATTTAGAGATGATAGCATAAGGATATTTTCAGAAAAGAAAAAATAAGATGAAAGTATAACTCAGTGTGAAGGCCCAGGGTTCAATAATATATATTGAGATATACATATATATATGCAAATAAATGTGATTCACACATTGATATGATATTTGAAAGCCAAAGTATTTAAGCAACCAATTACCATATTAGTTTCCAGCTTTCTGAATAGTTTCATCATACCCATACCTATTTATTTATAAATATCTAATCAGGTAATTTAAATATTATTAAATGTCTCTACCTTGTATGACTCTTCTGTTGAATAGATACAACAGTAATTAGTCTGATACTCATTTACCATTAACCACAGGAATTGAAACACTTTAAAAAATAATAAGAAATATGTAACTATTTTCTCTTGCTGGAGAAAATAAACTTAAAAAGAAAATTATGTCCATTTTACATTACAGGTGAATTTTTAGTATGTATTTCACAAAAAAGTGGTGTATAAGTAAGTCCTTCACTAATAATATTCCAATTTCCTATTTTTGTTACAAATATATGCATTCCAACACCAGTAATTGAATTTTGCCAAGTAAAATTGAATGCAACCTCTTAACAAAAATCTGCTGGAATTCTCTTTTAATGTGATGCTTAATGGATTTCTGATAAGAAATGCTTATATAGAATAATTCCTTTCTCTTCAACAGATTATATTTAGGAAATCTAAAAACACTACAGAGAAATATGCAAATCAGGGCTTGTGGAATATGTAAATACAATGATTGGTGGAGGACAATTTTACCCATTTGCATATGCTTTTCTTTTATACTGGAGTGGAAATTTTAAGTAGAAGCAAATGGCATTGCCAAGAAAGTACACAGGATCCTATTACACTGAGTATTACCAAGCAGGATTAGCAGGCTGGCCTGCTAAGGCACATTCAGCATTTCCCATCTTTGCATATTAAATATTCAGGTAAACCATGCTTTGGAAATTTTCCAAGAGTCAATATAAGTCCATCGTATAAGATTCATGACTTTAAAATCTTGTCAAAATGGCATAATTCTCACCTACATGACTTTTTCTTGGCTTACTTTATTCTCATCTATATGATTTATTCTTTATTATTTTAATATACTATCTAATTGTGATAAAAATAACTCAGTATCCATATGGGCATTTAAAAGTACTGTGATAAAATTACTCATGTCATCCATTTCCCCACCAATTATGGAAATGAGACTCATTGACATTTGTTATAAAAATAATATTCGAGTGACTGAATTTATATTGTCTTCCGTTCTTCTGTGGTAATGGCTTATTATACAAATGAGTAGAAAGGCAATATTAAACTACAACCAGTTTTAAATCTTTTGACTACCTGAAAATTTTATAAAGTATTGTCCATTAAAAAGCTGTCCAGTATTATGTATATCACAAATTTCTTTTACATGTAATTTGTATGATATTAGTAATAGTTTTAAAGAAAATCTAGAATTCAGTTTTCATTTTAGGAAATTTAAACCTCAAAAGGATTTTTGATGCCATAAATACTAAACTTCAATTACTTACAACATAATGCTTGCTATGACAAAAACTAATGTATTCAAGTTCTTTTTTGTGCAGAACCAGAGATTGAACTCAGGCCCTTGTGCTTGCCAGGCAAGTGCTTATTCTACAGAGCTATCTCCCCGGCCCCCTCAAGTTCTTTTAGAAGTCATCGACCTTCTTATTTTTCTTTTTGTATTTAGGACACTGAGTACAGGATCTCTCTACATAGATCAGACTCATAGTGATCCTCCTGTTTACAGCCTCCTAAGTGCTGGGATTACAGGTATGCACCACCATACTCAGTCTCAATTGCCGTCTCAGCACACCCTGGGGGATCAAACTCCAGGCCTCTGCATCTGCCTAAGCAGGCACTTTAATCTGCTGAGCTATTTGGTCAGCCCTAGAAGTCACTGACCTTTAAGTCTTTTAAAATACATCAAAGCAAGGAGTTATTTTTCATACTAGTAAAGATTGAAATACTTCTGTCACATATTAAAGATAAAGTCATTATGTGGCCGGCTCCACTGGAA